AATAGGAAAGTAGGTAGCCTGATTCATTAAAAATATATACTAATAATGAGTTTAGTTCCGTTAAGTTTTCACTATCAATAAACAAGGAACGTCAATTTGCTCTTCTGCTAAATGTGGAGGAAATAATTTCCTTCATAAGAAGTTTTCCAGTCAGAAGGCAGCACAGAAAAAAATCCTTTAGGCTCAGCTTCTTCCTCTCCTCCCAGGCTCATTTTCACCTCTGCTCTGATCCAGACGTAATGGAACTTCGCCTGATGTCATAGGTGAGGTATTTTCATGACAAACAAATGTCACAACCACAGAACTGTGATTTCGCTGGAGGACTGGACAAGTGGGTATCTGATGCACAGAATGGAACTTATTGTTAGAATATAAACAGCAGAAATAATTGCAAAAGCAAAGCAAATAAACAGCCAAGTAAATTAATTCCTTTTTGAACCACTGTTCTCATTTTCCAAGTCCAATGATTCTCCTTTCCTACTTAGGAAGCCTGAGGGGATAAAAAAGTATCCAAGATGGTGAAATTAAAAATCAGCTACTGAGCATGAAACATGCAATGATCACACTTCATAACATTTTATTGCCTCAGTGTTGCATGAATCACTTCACAGTTCCACACTGTTACGATGAAAAAAATGACACCAGTAAAGTCTAAGCAATTGATGTTATAACTTCATCAATTCGAGACTAAAGACATGCACGGAATGACAAATATTTTCAGGAATTGTGAGAAAACTACCACCTCATCCTGAAGCACAAGTTTCAACTTTGTACCTTTCTGAAGAGTGGCCATTCTCACACCAAAAGATGAAATAACCCTCAGTATAGCTCTACATGACAGAACCTGACTTTCCCTTTCAGAAACAGCCCAAGTCTGGGCTTCTCAAGAGTTACAAATGCAGCTAACGCGCAGCGACGCTACAGCTAATACAGAACGTTTCCAGTTCGGAACATTCTCACTACTTTGAGGTTTTGCATGAAGATAGTATTATTTTAACAATGACCTGCACTGAGCTTTATTTTTAAAGTTCTACAAATCGTGGAAGTGTGAAGCTGAATTATCTTTACATTTCACTCAATCCAAAAAAAGTTAAATTTATTGCTACTTAAAACCTCTAAGAGGACAATAATATATGCTTAAAACAACAAATCAGCAAGGCAGCAATCTATCAGATAAAGCATCAAAGATACAGTGCAAAGAAGTGGCCTCCCACAAGGCGATTGTACCTTCTTTTGACAGTCATCAACAGCTAACCAAATGCAACCTTAAATTCCTTCTGCTTAATAGATCAACTTTGACATGACTAGATAGTCTGGCTGTATTAAAAATACCCCAAACTCCCATCTCTGTAAAGCATCACTAAATCCAAACCTGTCCTGTAACAGCAGAACTTAACAATTTTTTTTCTCTCTAACAAATACTAGCTTTCTTTTTTTGATTGAGTAGCTAGACATCTTGACTGAGTTATTAAAATCCCTGGTAGGATTCTTCCCTGTAATATAATAGCTCATTTACCTTATAAAATCATTAATAGAAAATAAAGCCCTTTTTGTTAACTCTCATCTTGCCTCCTTGCAAGTGTACCAAAGGCACTTTAATATGGATCAGGTCATGAATATCGCAATTGCAGCAGCAATATGTGGCAACAAAGGATCAGATTATTTGAATAATAGTAATACTTTCTTCCTTCTTTGCTAAATAAAAAAAAGTAATAAACAGCATGTACTGACCTCTCAGGACAAAAAGTCAGTTCTTAAATCTTTCTGTTTTCCTAATACTTACAAATCCAGGTTTACAGTATGAAGTAATGGCACAGCACAAACCTTAGAATGATGAATGAGGGGTATTACAGGGTACAATAAAACCTACTTCATATTATGTCAAAATTCTGTCCAGTTTCACATGATGTACAGGTATGAAGTTAAACTGGAGTAGGAAAAAGTTAGCAGGCACTAGTTTCATATGAAGTTCCCTATAGTAGATTCATGGCAGATGCATTAAGAAGAAAGCAAAACTATGTACAGGCAGGCACAATTGTGAAAGAATTAATGTACCAACGAGAACAGCATTGGCCACAAATGCAGTATAACCTAGTGAAATGAAATTCACAGTTAATTTATCCATCAGTATTTCAATGCAGAAAAGAACACCTCATTAAAGTTTGTATTTTTCCTTGGGTAATGCTGGCACACACGACAAATGTAGCCGATTTCCCTACTTGAAACACACACTGGGAAAGACTTGTCCAGTCTTCATATGGGTTCTTGGGGAGGGAAAAGACAAGAGTAATGACCAAATCTAAGCGCAAAGATATTATTCGTACACACCTGTTATCCATTGCAGAGCCCTCCACACATTGCCTTACAACTACAGTGCACAAAACTGGCTTATTATTAGCAAAAACTTGTTTACAGAAACCCTAAGATTTAGTTCAAGTTACAATAAAAAGGTGTATTACCTTCAAGACGCCCTATTCCTTTACCATAACTCAGCAAAGCTTCAGGTGATGCTCACATTAAACGCCAGCTGTCCAGTCCAAAAGACACAGTATTGGCCCCCCGAACGCTACACTTCAAAGGGAAGTGAGTCTTCTGTAGCTGGAGTGATAGAAACTCCAGGAAGAAATGAATCAAAACTTCCCAGATGCCTTCCCCAAAGAGAAAAGTGAAATTCTTCAGCAGTATGCAGCATTAACATCTGATGGGGCAAGTCTGTCAAGGAGAAGCCTTAGAAAGCTGATGCTGATATTGTGGTTGACTTCGAATCTCTGATTTTTGGGGCCAGGCTGGAGTCCCAACTTTAATTAAATTCTAATCTGCTTTTCCCAGGTTTCATAAAATGCTGTCTCAAATAGGCTTATCTACTAAGAAGTGCAGCATGATCTTCTCATTAAAGAATCTGTTACAATGAAAACACATTAGTACTAAAGACATAAAAGACTGAGGAAATAATGGACATTTTCCTCCAAACTAGTGGATTGTCCTAATATCACTTTACAAAGAATTGTACATTCACAAGTCTGCTTCAAAAGTGGGAACTTGCTGTTTAAGTGTTTCTTCAATGTTATCTCTATTTTGTTCTTTAATTAATAAAAGGATACATGCACTGACATTATAAACACTAATTTGCTATTTAGCATCCCAAATTAGGAAGCATAAACATTTATGCACTTCATTAAACACTACCTAAGAACACTTTCAGATTAACAGGAGACAAGCCAGTCTGCTAAATGCAATTTCAGAATACACACAAGCTGTCGTAAAAAGACACTCATTCTCTTCCCATCCTTCACTGTGAAGGCTCCCCGGCTCCATCCTGCTGGCACCAGCCCTCATGAAATGCACCTTGGAAATCAGTGAGACCCGACACACCCACGCAACCACAAGTGCCAGTTGAAGGGGGGAAGGGAACACAGGGACACAAGCAGCGAAAGTGGGGCGCGCCGGTTCGGCAGCACGGCATACTTAGAGCGGCACAAGCCAAACTGCACTTTAGAAAGCATAAACCAAATAGTTCTTCCCTGAACTAAGGTGTCATTTAAGCACCCATGGCATACAGGAAGAGACAACGTGGTGTTTTACTCCATCTTTCCTGAACAGGCACTGCAGCTGTAGCACGCCTCCTGCTCTCGCTTCCCATTTCCTCCATCCAGCCCAGCCCTTTCAAGCATCCTTGCATTGCTCCTTTCAAATTATCTGCGCATACAGGACATTGAAATAGGTTTAACGTGGAGGTATACCAGTGCTACAGGAAGATGATAAGAAATGGTAAGTCTTTCAAAACCACAGGAAGCAGAATTTCAGCAGTCAGAAAGGAAGAAATGCAGATACAGACAGCCTGAAAGGCAAAGAAATGCGGATATAGACAGCCTGAAAGGCAGATTATCAAATCTGTGTGCGTAAAATAAGTGGAAGGTTAACTAAGATCATTAATACAAGTCCTCAGAATCGATCAGTACAGGCCCTAAATTATCTCCACAAACCTCATTCTCAAAATCCTTAATGAGACAAGACTTAAGGCTATTTTGTTTCAGACAATAAGGTATAGTTCAGACCCACAACAAATTACTCCTTATAACTTTTCATCGCAAGTCTAACTTCATTGTAGAAAACTATTTTTAATTTAAATTTGTACTAAAAGTGTCCTTTGTTAAATTATGGAGTCAGAGGAAAGGGTACTTAGACTTTCTATTCTACATAATCTTCCGACAGTGTGGCAATCTTTAAATCATTTGCAAATACAAATACTCCAAAAATATAGTGTTTCAAGAACCATAATATGGACGTACTGAAGAGCTTTGTACCATAACCAGAAATCTGAAAAGTGCCTTGGTGCCTGAAAAAGAACTGCTTTTACATTTTTTTTGTTTTTTTTAAATAAATTATCACTATTTTACAACTTACAGCTTTGGGTTCTTTGTTATTTGTTTGTTTTAAAACTACAACAGCAATGGTGACCTAACTACAAGATAATAAGTGAAAAAGAAGCATTATTTGTGTGGTTTTGACCAAATATATTGTTAGATATCAAAGCAAAGATTTATAAAAACAAACGATTAAAATTTCAGTTCAGAAAAACACTTCATAAATTACAATAAAACCTTTTTCAATAGCAAAGTGGATTTTGTACAGTTTCTCCTTCTGAGCAGATATTTACTGCAGCCTAGATCCACTAACTCCAATAAAACAAAATGTAGGCAAAATGGGTCAGTGTTCGCAGAATTACAGGCTATATACAGAACTGCAGGTAACATACTGCAACTCATTGGAAAAACCTTTGAAAACTCACTGTTTCATTGTGAGTGGACTTACAATATATCTTACATTATTTAAAAGCAGTTTACATCGTAGAAAGACTTTTGACAGAACCACTCAGAAAATGAATCAGTTCTAGGAGGAGAGTAACGCCTCAAGTCAGCTTCTCCCACCAGCAAAAATGTCACACAAATCAAAGAACAACACTTAAGTAAAACACTAAGACTTTATTAAAAATCCAAAATTTATTGCAAATTGTACTTTGCACTTTCCCTCCTTTCTTCATTTTTACAGGATTTATTGATATCCATGATTTTTTCACAGATGTACTTGTTGACTTTGGAGAGTCTCTGTGCAATTTCAGTTTCATCCACAGTTTCTTGTGCTATTCTATCATATAAACATTCTGGGGAGAAAAAAAAAGGAAAAAGCCATTAGGATATTTTTAGAAAAGAACACAGCCCTGCATGGGGCTAACTACTCAACAGACAGCACTGAGTAAGCACTGTGTGTATTTGCTGCAAGACAACAGCAGCTTTCCTTGACTCACTGACTATCTCGTTAAAGACAAAATTTTTCACCAGACTTGAATCTTTGGCACGATCAAATTCCAATTATGCTGTGACTACATTCATAGGCTTTCTATATAGAAACAAGGCTAAACCCAATCTTTTACAGTGTCTTGCCTGCCTAACTCGTATTTGTCCGTATCTGCACAGATTTAGAATCTTCTCCCAGGTGAACGGTCTCACAAGAACTGTTGTTATCTACAGTGCCCTGCGAGTCACTCCTACCATCACACCTTCAAGACAGTAAGTGAACGAGAATGGTTAGGAAGAGAAGCAGTAACCAGCAGGAGAAGACATTAACTGATTTATTTTATTTTTTAAAACTGTTCAACATACATTAATGTTTGCATCTTTATCGGACACCCTATCCCGGGGTGTATATCGCTTTTGTTAGTAGATTATTCAGGGTGAATGCCATCTTCTTGCATGTTTGCACAATACACTTTGTGAACTTAACTGCAATACAAAAAGCAAGCAGTAGTAATCGCTGCAAAAGCAATGAGGGCAATGAGAGTCAAGATAATTCTGCTCCACAGAGTCCGTAGTTTGCTGCCAGAATCCTGCAGAGGTTACTGAAATCAGAGGCAGTGCAACACACCCAACTCCATCGAGACAGGCAGGTTTAGTTTTGTTGTCTTCATAACCAGAACAGTGTATTTTGTTGTGTAGGCTTCCCAGATTGACTAAACAAACTCTCTTCTGCTTTGCCTAGTAATCTATTCCAGTAGCTGTTTATTGCTTCTTATACAGAAAGCCACAGAGATTATCGCTTAATTAACATAGTTTATAACATTTCTAATGCTTCATATTAAAAAGTTATGAAAATTAAGTACTATGCATGCTTTGTAGTTCATTTTGAAACCTCTCAGAAGTTTTATAAAAGGTTATTTTGCATTAACAAGGTTTATAACAGTGCTCATGCATCAGACTTTTTACAATTTCTTTATTACATACAACACTGTAGGGATGTTTAAGAAGCTAGATATCAGACACATTAAGAGCTAATGCCGTTGTACAAAAACCTATTTCAAGTAAGTTAGTGTGTGTCCACAGAATGATAGAACACCTAAAATAATGTGATTGTTGTAAGATGTATTGACTAGAAAATAAATAAAATTAATCAGCATGCAGCCTGATAGCTGAATGCTGATCATCAGTAAACTATGATCTAAAACACAACACCTAAGAGGCATGTACCTGAAGAAACCCAGTGTGTTCGCAGGACATAAACTTGTACTACAACAATCTCAGGGATACGCCCAGGTTGCAGCTGATACACCCAGCAAGGTGAACTTCCAGTAAAACTTCTTAGTCTAGCCACAATGTCAAGCAAAGAATCACTTGACAGAACTCATTCATCAGCTGTGATTCTGAAGTCAGCGTGACCCAGAAAGATCCAACATCATCACAGTTTTTCCTCTTTCTCCTCTTCCATTTCTATGAGGGGCTGCAGAAATAGTCGTTTAGCAGGCACATAAGGATGCTGGCTCACTCCAAAGAGCGATTTCAGGGTTCTTTTTCTTCTTTGTCTTTTGGCTTTAGAGTAGCATACAGATACCCCTTTATATTTCTGACTGGACCAAAGACTCAAGTAGACCTCAAAGACCGACAAGGAGCTTTACTTCTACCTGTGACACCTGATACAAGTCATTTGCCACGTAAACTCTAACTTCCTCGCATTTCACCACTTGCTACCCATTTTATTTGTTTTATTTTGTTTCCTTCTCTATTTCTCCATAATGTAATAACTTCTTATTTGATCACCTCCAGCTTTCCAGGAAACACTACTGGCATGATGAGACAAGACCTGCTAACATTGATGCAAATACAAAGGACACGAAAACGTGGAAAATCATGGTTATGTGCCACCCAGTACTGCTGACATTGGAAGTCTATCTGCTGCCACCTAAAATATTGGCCATGCAGTTTAAATGGTTCAAGAGGATACTATACAGTCTTGAGTCTAACAAAAAGGCAGTCAAAGACAACAAGAAATAAACACTGGAAAGAGGAACATGGAACACCAAGGCGTGGAACAGTAGAATTCAAATGAGGATTGAGGCTGGAAGCAAAAGTGTGACAGAAAACACAGGAAAACAAAGAAACAGGGAAGAGCTGAATTGCTGGAGAGTGTAAAGGTATGGAAAAGAAAGGGAAGGGCCCCATCTGCCTCTCGCCATGTGCCTGTTGGAGCGTACTCCCAAACTCACTGTAGTCAAAACAAGGGGAGTTAGAAGAAAGCCATCATTTAAATGGCTCAAGCAACACAGACTCACCCTGATTGAAGTAAAGATGAAATTCTCACAATAAGCAGCCTTGCCAGCAGTGCTGAGAAGCAACAGCTTCCAGCAGCGAAACTAGAAAGCTCTTTGCAATGGGCCAGTGAATAATAACCCCTTTTTACTGTGCATTTGTTAAGTGCGCATCTGGGTAACCCGTTCTGTTTCCCATTAGGAGCTGACAAGCGTAGCCACAGCCACAGAATGGATTCCTTACGTGGCCAGTAGATCATTACTTTTCTACACGTTAGGACCAAAAGGTCCCAGCTAGAACTAGAAAATCAGCATTTGCACTTCCACATATATTCTTGAAGCAGATTAGTAAAAAAAAAAATCCATGTCTTTTACTCATTTCTTACAATCTATGGAAGATGACAGTACGAAGATCAATTTCCAAATTTTCCTCACACAACACAGACACACGCATATACTTGAAGAAGAATATTTCTTACTTCTAACACAATGTACTTGCAAGACATATTACAATAGCTCTTAAAGAGTTCACAGTTAAGAGCACATAGCAACTAGAACAGGAAATGCAGAATAATGAAGCTCAATCAAATAGGGAGATTTCTTTCAGCCCTACTGCAATTTAGTATGGACACAAAACCTAAAAATCCAATTTCAGTATGTATTCCATGAGGAACTGACTCAGTTCTGACTTCAAGAGAAGCCTGAAATACCAAGAGAGACAGAAATGAATGCAAAACACAGTCATGATGATACAAAGGGACTGAAATTCACTATTCATTTCAAATAAAGGAGAAGGCCTTCTCTATCTCAAAGCACTACATACATGGACTCAGGCTTGCAGTAACTGAAAGTGTCATTGCAATTTTTCCTGCCAGATAGTCAGCAATTTACACTTCCTGTTCAAATTCTAATTCAAGTGCAACAATTAATTTTTACTATTTCCATTCTCTCCACTTAAAAGGGTAAAACTATTCTTTCTCACCTTTGAAGGTCTGCGTATTTTTATAGTCACAGCTCTAATGGTTTCTGCGCCTCATGCCAGAGCTGGTTACGTTCTGGATGAAAGAATGTGGTAAAGCTACTCTGAGGCTTGTTAAAAGGTATATATGCATTTAAAAAAAATCACTAAGTTATAAAGGAATTGCAGAACAACGTGTTGTTCTTCAGGCTCAGAGTCCTGCCCTGCAAGTGGTTTAAAGTGATCATCTTCTTAACCCTTATTACTGAAGTCAATGTACAACTCTTCAGCTGTGAAGGCCTGCACTGTGCACAGCTATTGCAATGTGCTTTACTTTTCCTGGATATGTATGCACTTCACAATGCAATAGCAATTTGAATTACAGGTTTTAATCAGTTAATTTTATATGAGCTGAAATGAAGCATCTTTCAACTCAATGATTAATAGTTAAACTCCAAAGCAGGAAGCAAAAGTTTTCAAATAACCTACCTCTGACAATGCTTAATTTGTGAGGTGAGAGAGGTGGCTTGGGAACGGCATCTTTCTTTTTTTTGGTTGCAACTCCTGTGACACTTCTGTTCTTGAGAACATCTGTTCCCCAAATCATAACCGCTAGATTTTTTGTATACTTTGAATCTCCTTGTGTTACTTGCAGCTGGTGCCATTTCTCCTCATCTACCCAAATTCCACTGCCAAGATGGACCTAGAAGGTAGTAATAATAACAACTTATCTATGGTATGTAGCACACAACAGTATCCAAGTGCTGTAGGAACATTAATATTAAGTACTATAATAACAGTAATTCGGGCTGAACAAATCCATTTTGCCTAATTCTGAAACTTCTCCAACTTTGCGGGTCAGGGGGTTCAAGTCAATCTCTTATGTAATATAGTTCCTCTTCCTTTTTGTATTCAACTCTTCTTAACCTCTACTTTTCCCCCCTGTGTAACCTATCTCCTGAAAGACTGGTCAAGAACAGAGATAGAAGGAAACAGCAAACACATCCAGTATTATAAAGGTATGCACAGCATATAAACCAAGCAGTTGCACCAGCCTAATTCAGGAGCAAGACACATGGTCTTTAATCTGAAAGCTTCCCTTTGGCTGAAACAGACTTTACCCAAAGCATTACTTCGGAGGCAGCAGAGATGGAAATAATTCCTAAGTTGTATCCTGTACCAGTTGGCAAAATTCAGCCTGATCGTTTAAATTAACTAGAAGAGGAGAAGGGATTTTGAGAGCTCCAATTTCCATATAAGCCAAGAGAGCTTAGAAGCTTTGTAAAAATTCCAATTTGCCCAGCATGTATGATCAATCTGTCCAGGTGAATACTGTTTTGTAGTAAGGCAATGACCCATTGTTGCAACATCACAAACTTTCCATTATCCAGACAATGGGGACCAGAGGTATTTCATTCAAGTAGTAAAGCAGTATAATACGAGGACTGGGAAATGCAGTGTGAAGCCATTGCAGAGTCTCCAGAAGGAAGCTGCTTGAGTCTAGCTGTGCTTATTAGCTTTGCTCAGCATTGACTATGCTAGGTTAACTCCCACAGAGCTACACTGTATCTCTACCCCAAGATTCCCAGTGCTCCAGACTTAAGATGAATGCAGGACAAGAATCCGAGTACCATCCTTAGGCTGGCAGTATGTATGTTTGAGCTGAGAGTCCTCCTGATAACCAGGACACCTTCAAAGTAATAGCAAGGAAAATAGTTCCACTAGTAATCAGTACAGGTCTGACATCAGCACAACCAGTAAGGCCAACTGGATGCAAACACTAGCCCTGTGTAGAACCACAGAGAACACTTTGTGCCTTGTACATCAACGTTCCTGATTCCTGGAGTACAGTGCAGACACCTGAACTACCTCTGCACACAGAAAGCTTTGTTCACATGGTGATGAACCTCATTCGGTTGGACCCACACTTGCTCGTCACCCATGACAAGCTAATGTGTGACCTAGCTATTCTAATTATTGAAAAGAGTTCACTGCCCTGGAAAGGAAGAACACAGAACTTACTTTCAGATCATTCTGTAAAAGTGCAAAATTACAAAAATATGTATCAATTGGATTGTTATATTCAAAATTTAGGTTTCATAAAATCTGATCAAATGGAGGTTCTTTCTGTAACACTAACACTTTAATAAAAACTTACTGCCTCCTCACGATTAAAAAAAACCCTGTGAACAAAATTCTACGGCAAAGCCATATTAGAAGACTCTGTTAGCCTTAACTGTTTTGCTCTTAGTTTTTCATGGTTTTACTCCTTTCATGTGGCATTACATAAACCATGCCTGCTACCCATACAGATCTGAAAAGCATCACGTAAGTCCCATTAAATGGAATGAAAATTGGATAAAGCTACTGCAAAATTTTATATACCCATAATTTTACTGCCTGTACTCAACCAAATACCATTTTTCCTTTAAATGGAAACCTGCTTTAATTGTTAATGAGGGCTATAACCCGAAGAAATTTTTTATTACAACAGCATCCTTCAAAAGCAACTAGTTGTTTAAAAACTTAAATACAAAAAATATTAACGATCTGGCTACCAGCTACTTTATGAAAAAAAAATGAAATGTCTAACCTCCTCGAAGCATAAAACCATAAAGCAAACTGCCTCTCCTGCAGAATCTTCTACACTAACGGGATTTTAAGAAGCTTTTCACAAGTCCACATGGGACTTAGATTTCGTCATGGACAGAAATGGAACTAGTAATGAGCACAACATGAACATCCCTGTTTTTCCTTCCTTTTCTATTGTTGAGTCTCTTCATAATTGCTTTAAAAAAATTACTCTTTCGGTGCTCTCTACATATTTTGTAAGGCAACTTCAATCCGAGTGAGCAGTCTCTGCTCAGAAAACAATCACATTACAGTTATAATTCAGTAATTTCTGTCTTGATCCTGGAAAAGTTATCTGTAAAAACAAGTATAAGTTACTTAGAAAATAACTAAGATTAGGAATGTTGTGCCGTGCCAAATTTTTGATGTCTGTATTACATTGGTTGTAGAGACTGCTGTATTTGATCAAAAATCTGATTCCCCTCTGCCAAAATTAGGGTTGGTCTTTGCTAAAGATTGTTTAGTCTCTTAGGCTACTACATTATTCATTAGCTTTATGTTATTTAAAAGAAAACAAGTTACAGCAAATACTTATAATATTTATGTTTCAGACAGATCATCTCTTCTTTGAACACGCTTCATTTATTAAAGAAAGTTATCACTGCTATGAAATACCTATGGTAACAGCAACTACATGACAGACAGCCACAGACACAGAAATCCTATGTCTCCCTTCTTCTATTTCTAGCACTGTTGTGGCAAGGAATTCAATTTGTCCACGTCTCAGTTTACCTCTCTGTAAAACAGTCTTGGTACTGTTTCCTATTACTCCCAAAGCTATGGGAAGCTTACTGTACTCCAGATTCAGAAGCCATTTCCTTCTTGCTGGAAGAGATGCCCCATGGGCCAAGACCCTTGGCTTTATGAAATCAATAGGAACTTTACCCCCAATACCAGCAACTGTAGGATCAACTTTCAAGCACAATGCAACAGAAACAACAGCAAATTCAAAGCAATGCTCACCACCGTAACTGTGCTAACATATGCAAGATATCTAAAATGTATCTATCTCAGAAGATGATCTCTTTTTTTTTCTTTTTTTTTTTTCCTTTCTTCTTTTCTTTTCTTTAAATGAATGCCATCAGCTCTTTTTCAGTAACTGTTCTCCCTCCAGCGGGGAGAGATTTATCTCCTTTGAAAGAATCCTACTAAGATCAAATCCAATGCCACAAAGGGCAAGACTTCTAAAAAAGTATCTCAACTACTCTAATGGTGTATGTCAATAAAGGACTAATGAAAAAAAAGGCATAAATAAGGAAAAATGAAAAAAACATCCTCCAACACTCTAAATACATAATTAGTTCACATTTCTGACACCTGAGTTGGCTGAAGCCCCAATAAATAGGCAAACTTAAAGAAAGATCAAAATTAGAAAAAGAAAACTAAAGAGATAGTAACATCTGCAAAGACAGAGAAAACTTCAGCAACAGAAGTGCCAAGAAGCTGGCAGATGAAATAAAGGTGCAGGAAAAGTTGCATACAAATACTAAAGGATGTGCCTTATCCCACAGATCTTAAGCAGAAAAAAAAGGAGGTAAATTCAAACTCCCACAGTAATATATGCTAAGTTTTCATAGCACAAATATACACAAAATATACAAGCAAATGACTTATGTTAAATATATTAGGAAAAAAAAAAAAGCTATCTGAACCAAATACCTGTCAAACTGCCAAAATTATACTATTTTTCACATGCATTTTTTCCTCAAAAATTATGTTCAACTCATCTTCAAGAATGACAGACACTTGTGCAGTCAATCTTGTAATGCAGATCTGAAAATATACTATTTCATGCTATTCCATCAGTAACTCTACTGTATGCCAACACTGAAATGGAGGTTTCCTCCTAAAAGGTTCTCAGATTATGGTACCAAATGCATACATATCCTAAGAAACAGGATCTGCATTGGCAATTCTGCAGGACATACACTTTTGTAAAAGAAATATAACGTTAATTTAATGATAGCAGCAACAGCTATAAAACCAGTCCTTGGCAGATGAACAGACAACATATCAGTCAGGTTCTCGTGAACTCTAGGTAGATGGTATTTCATCAATCTGGAAAGTAGCACTACACCAGCTCAACTCAGTGGCAACGCTCCTACCAGATTCAAGCGAGCCCATCTCCATTCCAGGGTTCACAATTATCTACTGGACTCCAGCCAAAATACGAAGGTTTCTCTGCAACACGACTACAGCACACTAAGAATGTTAAAGACCTTTTAGGAAAAACTATTTCTGTTAAATAGACTCCTGTAACTTTATAACATGGGTTATTGACTCTGGTCTGTATTTGGTGGATTTATGTATGTCACCAACTGAAGACTATGTCAATGTGCTTGTGCATGCATATTTAACAATTATATTCCTTGTGTTACACAGACTTTAATGTGCTCATCACTGAGGATAATTTTCTATGCTCTTCATATTTGTGTAATTTCATAATTTTCCTCAGCATAATAGCATGCCTTTATAAAAACTGAGGAAGTTTGTATAAGCTCCTGCCATGCAAAACCCCCAAGACCATGAAAATTCCACAAGAAAATCACCTGATGGACATTTACAAACTATTCATGCTATATTTAATTTTAAATACCTTTCCATTCTCGAGAATATACTTGTCCATTACTGGAACAGGGGCAGGATAGTACGTTGATGTATTTGCTTCCTCACTGAAGGTCTTCTGTACCTCAGGTTCAGGCTCAATTGATTCTGGTTTTACTTTTTCAAGCTCAATGGCAGGTCCTAGACAGTTAAGAAAAGAGAGCTGTCTGCTATCCCAGAGAACATGAAATCAATCACTTCATCACCCATGGTTAGCATAAAATAACACATCAGTCATGTTCATTTCAAAGTCAGAAAGAGTCTAAACCAAAATCCTACTTCTGAACATCAACAAATAAAAGCAGGATAAGTAACTCTGCTTTATAAATATTAGAATGCTTAATTTTAATTTAAATCGTTATTTTTCATCTTAAAGCATATGGACAATTACAGCTATGGGTAAGATTGCTTCAATGCACACTATGGAAATTACGTTAAAATGACACGGGAATTATAAACCAAAAGCAACAATAGTAGTTCTTCAAATAAGAATTACTATATATTTGCACAGAAACCTGCATAATTTACTCTGACAATTATATGTTATCCATATAGAATTACAAATTTTATAGAAATTTGAAATCTCTTTAGTTCTAACAGGTTTATTAAAAAAAGTGAGGATGTACAGAAATGCTATAAAGGAAACAGGCTTAGGCTACTTATGCTAAAGTATCATGCACAGAAAGAGTATCCAAGGTTAAAAAAAACCCATATAAATTAGAATTTTGATTGTCCAATCCATCCAACACACTTTTTTTTATTTTTAATGTAATCAACAAAAATTAAGCACAGATTAAACAACAGAATACTACTAAGCACATGTTTGAGGCTTCAAAGGAGGATAATTATTTTGTCAGTCATCAGCTTTTCTTTTCCAGATCAAACTTATAAAGTGTTCCTAAAAAGGCAGAAGAACAAAATAAAATAATTTGTGAACTGGATTTCATTATTCCTTTCATTGCAGCAGTTAGACCAGAAGTCTAGGACAGGCTATGGCCCCAAGCCTATCATTGTCTCTTGATGTCTGTCTCTGGGCCCACAAGAAACTCCGGCAGTCACTGAAGTTCCCCTCAGGGACGGTGGTTTGTTAACACAGCAAGGTTGCCAGCTTTGACGCTGGACACCACGGTTATCAGCCACTTCCAAGAACTATAAGGATAAACTAACCCACTTGTAAGAACTATATTGTACCAGGTTGGAGCTGAGAGCACTGCAGCACCCTGTAGCCCAACCTTGACATCTTCAACAAATGACAATTCAATAATCAGGTCACCGTCATGGTGCAGCTTCCCTCCTCAGTGTTTGTGCACATCGACCAAGCCCTGAATTGATCTAACTCTGCAAGTCAAGCTGGCACCAGAACTCAAGTCTTGAGTCACGTATCTTAAATAGTTCCTGTACCTGGAACAAGCAAAGTATTCATTCCTCCTTCTTTGTACAGTTTGATTATTATACAGTGATATCAGTGTTTCCTCCATTGTCAGCATTTGACATTTATGCTATAGCTTATTCTACACCTACCTAGCTAACTAAATATTCTCAGCTGACTGCCACTTGACGCTCAGCAACAACTAAAAGCTGTCTTGGCAACTTGGACAACCCTATACTACAGTGCCACCAGACTGTCTTAAGGGCCATACGCAATGCAAGCATGGCACAAATGGAGAAATCACAAAAAACATACTATTTGCATTATAATTTCATAGTCATTTTAATAAGCACTTCTATTATCATGCATATAGAATGGCATGGCCAACACAAACTCAACTTTCTAAACTTGAGACTGCTGAACTGATTCAGACTGGGGGAAAATCCTGGATCGATTAAACCACGCAAAGTCTGCCCACACTTCAGTGTGGGCACACCTGAACAAGCAGACGCAGTGACATATTTGACAGTGTGAACTTCAAAGTGATCCTTTAGCTGTTACTTTAAGAACACATTCTTCAACAAAGCGCTATTCTCAGTTTTCTTACATTTTGAAAGTCACTTTGAGGACTTCTTCCTAGAAGGAAACGTTTATCTCAGTTTAAACGCTTTTACTAGTTGCTATTTAGAAGTCTTTTACTGTTTTGTTTATAGTAATATATTGACATAACTGGGATTTGGTTTCTGAAGTTCCCCCAAGAAAAACAGCTGATTGAAGTTCACAATAAGCATAGCTCTAACAGGTCAGAAAAACCTCTACTGCAATTCATGCTTTACTGCTTGCTTAGAAGTCACCAACAGAAAGCCTTTAAAATGTCCTCTTTTATAGCCTACTCATTTTTTCTTCCCAAACAGAAATCTGCCTCTAACTAGGTAATCTTCACAGCTACTTTCACCAACTACTAAAGATTGCATTTTCAACTCAGCAACTCATGAATTGAACATGCAACCCGCACTACTGCCTTACTGCTAATCGGAGTTGTGTTCCCAATTTACCAGGCATCACATTCTAAAAGTTTCCTCTCTCTGTAGGTCTCCTGCTCTGCATCTTATTTTAAAGAGGATGAACGGGACACACAAAAATATATGCCACTATCTAATGGCTTAACAATTGTAGCACTTATGTAATAAGGATCATAAAAAAAATAAATTCTTCAGAATGCAAAAAGGAAACAAATGTTTTATTGCAAAATCTTTTTCCTTCTCACTGTAGAGTTTCCATAATGTCCGAGAGGCCAGCAGCTTCAAATGGAGGATGAAGATAGAAGGCTTCCCTTCATCACCTCTGTTACTCAAAAAATGCATCTTAGGCTACACGCTACCCAAAAATTAGTGAGCAAGCCAAAATAAATTAACTGATAAAGTGGTCAATACATATTTGTAAGCCGCAAGCTATTTTTCCACATGGCCTATCAGAATTTGAATGAAAACAACAGGAGTCTGAGAAGGGGAAGTACTACATATAGCCTACTTCTTGTACTCGTACTTGATAGAAACCTTGGACAATTTTTTTTACTTCAAAAAGCCAAACAAATCTAGAAAAGCTGAATAATAATTCCTTACATGTGCTAAGGCACAAATACCATTTCATTCTTCCTGTCATGGTGTCAGTCCCAAGACGCTGTAAACTGGATCACTGAAATTAAACTGGGATTAAAAATAACCAGCTGGGGGGCTGTGTGTGTGTGCCGATGAATGAATGTGAATGAATGGAGGTGAATACAATCCTTGACTTCAGAGCAACACTAGTTCTTAGCAATACAACATGAAAACACGGTATTTATCAGGGACTGAACAACACTCAAACATTATCCCTGATACAACTTCACTACTTCTGGCCATATACAACCACAATAAACTGCACAGATCTTACCCTGAAGATAACTACTTTTTCAAAACTTACTGACATTTTTATCTTTTGCAATCCAAGGACTGTTTAAAGTCATGTCTACAGGGAAGAGTCAGTGATTTAATTCTCTAAAACGTCTTACTGTAGATTGATAAGAACAGGGCAAATTAGTGTGTTTTCAGGTGCAACAGAACAAATATAAAGTGCAAAGGCCTACGATTGCAGGGATTCCTGATCCCAACGCAGGGAAGCAACAAGAGGTTTGGCTGCATGTGTTCTTCAGGGAGCTTGGATGAGGGATACCGTAACCTCTTCCATGAGTCATCACGTTCCCCCACTGCTTTGGTCCCTAGAGCCCTGGTCAAACGCCCGCCTCCTCCAGGAAGCAATCTGTTGGGCAACAGTGTATCAGAATCACAAAGAAGCTTCAACATATCCCCATGGATCAGTACTGATTTCACTACTGTCATCTGTCACATCTGCTTTCAAGGCTCTTTTAGAACAAAGAGCAATTCAGTGTCACCACGTGAAAGATTAAGAACCTCACTCTTCCCACAAGAGTGGCTCAAGTTTAGTAGCAGAGATGAAGGCCTAGCTCTAACATAGAATACATTGACTTCTAGCTTCTCACTGAAATCAACACATTGACGGGAAATTAGGAGACTGGATACTTGACTGAACGTTAGCTCAAGAGGCTGTTCTATATTTGATCTGCAAGTTTAAAATGGCAACAGGCATGCGTTTCCCCCAGCTGCAATTCATCAGCACAAACCAGCTGTCATCTCATGCAAAGAAATCAGAAGTCTCCAAGGTGAAACAGAAATGCAATTAGTTTGCATTAAGTCCAGCCTACTAGAAGTGCAGCATAACATAAATTACATGTAATTTGAAACTCTAGGTTTAAGAGATTGCTGCAACAACTGAAGATGAATTCAGGATGTAATCTATTTTCTGAACAATTGTCACAGAACATTCACATACCCAAACATACCTCATTTATAAGCTGGAAAAGTAAGGAAGACTAAAGAAGTTTTTACATATCTGTTTCTTGATTAATAGTAGCACTTTTTCACACTGCCATCAGACTCTCTAATTTACAATTTGCTGAAAATGTCTCCCTTTCCCATTATTTCTAGATTTTGTACTTGTCTTTCTAGAATCTGGTTGTTTCTCTACTGTGAATGAGGCTACAAGGAAAGGCAAGAGTTATTGGCAGTTAATACATTGAGTCTTCGGAAACACACATCCTGGGAAGGACACAGCCAACAGGGCCAAATTCTACCTTTGTCATCCATGAAAAGTTCCATACAAATAATAACAATCAGGGACTTTTTTGGAAGTTGTCTATAATTCATATTTGTCCAGGAACATGATTAAAATAACTTGTCTTCCACATAATCAAGATTTATTTTCAGTTGTAAAGCAGATGCCAGACTGATACAATGGAAATTCAAGCCCAGTATTTAGAGAAGATTCAGTAGTTTTTCCAAGAGGTTTTGGGTTTTGTGGGATTTTTGTTTTTGGTTTTTTTTTCCTTTTCTTTTTTCCTTTTTCTTCTAAGCTTTCTTGATTCATCTCAAGTAAAAAAAAATGCATCCCTTCTTCCTTAAAATGAAAGAAACGAGACAGAATTCAGAAGCTGCCTTCATTTCATCGCTGGTCTCACCACTCAGATTGCTGTCAAGTCTACCCACTAAATTGGTATTTTACGCTGTTCAGCCCCATTGCCTACTAACATCTGGCTGATGCTCCATTCACATAAATTCCAGCTAACTACTTGCAGATGAAGAAACATCTTTCCACCCAAGGAAAATTTTAGAAAGCTCAGTGGAATCTACTGCCAACCACTTCGTGTTTTTCAGACTGTGGAAACCTTGCCTATTTAGTTTTATTTAAAAAGTTAACTAGAATGTTTATAATAAGTAATGACACTTTAATTATGCACAGTGTAACAATAAAGAGCATTCACAATCAAACACCCAGATCAAATTGTCAGATGCTGCTTCGAGGACCTGGCTCCAAACCTGCTGGCACACCTCAACGCATGCTACAGCACAGGCACATGCTCTCTCAGGTTCAGGTTTGTAGGTGAATGTAACTCAGACCCACATGCAAATTGCATGCACTCGTTCAAGTCAAGTAGAAGAGCCAATACCCAATTTACATGCAAAAATTAACTTTCCAGATACACAAAGGCAGACATAAGAAACAGCATGCTAAGTTTGGATGCACAAATTTTAACCAAGTTTCAGTCACCGAGCAAATCTTCAACACAGCAGTACCACATTCTAATAGCAAATAAATATAAATTAGTAAAATATTTCAAGGTATTTCAAGGGTACCATCTTCAATGAAAAGGATGAACTTTTTATTTTGTCTTTTTTCCCATTTATTCCAACAGAATGGTTAAATAATCGTTATAAACGAAAACAAACGAGCAATTGACTCAGGATACTTAAAATTTAAATCCAAATTACACAAACCTGCATTTTGTAACAAGCGTTGATAAACGGGACACTAATATAAAAAGTTGGTTTAATTATTCTTTAACAATCCATTATTTTTCAAACAGCATGGCTGTTTAAAGCCACTGCTAAGAAGTTCAGGAATAAATCACATTCTAATAAGCTACTAATAGGAAGAGGGGGCAGAAAATGGAAGGTAATACAGTCACATAACAATAAACAAAATCCCTAACTCAAAATAATAAAATAGTTTTAGCCCATATATTCATTCCACTGCCTTTTCTTTCGCCTTTTTTTCTTTCTAAACTGGAACATATTGGTATATTTTGCAGATGATGCTTTATTATCTTTTTCAGCATAAACTGGAAGGTCAGAGACTCTTTAAAATACAGCTGCTTAAAATGGAACTCATTCAACCATACCAGCACAAAGACCTCTACTATCATTAAAGAAAATCCCAGACGTACATAGAATACAAATTCAACATATATTGTACAGCCATAGCAGAAAACCCTTTTAACATTCAATGTCCAGTTTAACGACCACCGCTATTCTTCAAATACATTTCCATTACTACTGATCACACTTGCAAAATTCATTAAAACTAGTCCCATTTAAGTCCGGCACTTACCACTACCTAGTCTTAGAAGCAGTACATCCTGGAGTCTCCTGTTCAAGTCTCTGAGCTCTTTCATTTCTGACACGAGTGCCCCATACTCCTTTAGCTTCTTTGCCTGTTGCACAAGCTGTCTCCGCGTTCTCTCAAGCTCCTGTTGAATGTGTCTCATTTCTTCTTGTTGCTGTTGGTAACTCCTCAACAATTCTTCATACAGAATCCGAGGAACTACAGCATCGTCCATGTTGTTCATGCCTTCCGACGTCTCCATAAAAGCCTCCTCAGGGCTGGAAGTATGACTGAGACTCATACCATTCTGTTTTTCAAGGCGAGCAACAACTGCTTCAATGCTTTTGTGTGTACCTTCACTTTGTTTCCTCCCATCTTGTCTCTGCACATTACAATAAAAAATAAATAAATTAGGAAAGCAGTAAGATGTAATACAAATTAAAATTTGACGGACTTCAGAACCATTAATATTCTTGTTTTCCAAAAAAAGCAAGACAAAGTCTGTCTGTAAAAATGTTTTGCCTAACAGATTCTTGTGGATATACATCGTAACTATCATGCAAGCATAATTCAGCTAAATGTACATACAAACTTCTCAGGCAGCTAAAGGCCTGCCTTTCTGCATTTGTGCAACACTTGCAAGCTGAGTGTATATAGCTCACTTTATTACATATACAGAGATATTTATCTTTAAAAAAAAAATGGATGTGTATCTCATTTCCTTTAAAGTTTACCCTTAACGTTTAGATTTATGACATGATAACTAAGAGAAAGAATCAACTATGGGCTATGTTTGTCACCTGTAACAACATCAGAGATGAAAGCAGCATACCATACAAAGCTGTTTAGTGAACAGAGGGCTTGCCCTTCCCTCTCTTTGGGAGACAAGACCTTCTCTGACTATTGCTCTAGCACGTTCACCCAGCTGCCTGATGCAAGTGACTGAGTCATGATCAACTGATTCCTTCTATTAGTACTGCATTGCAGAGGCTTCACGTCCTTTGAACTCTCAGCAGAAATTTACCTTCGGTCATCTGCATAAACCCTAAAAATGAAAGCACACCTGTTTTCTGGGGCCTGGATAGTGGTATTAAAATGTGACAATGCAGGTAACAGCCACTAAGTTTTATTGGTCAAATACATAAAAAGCATTTGAACTTCCAAGCAACTGCAAGGAAAGCAAATGTAGCTCACAGGTTAGAGACAAGAAGCTGACACTATCAATTCCCATACCACAATATCCATGAGTAATGTGGCAGAAAATAAGATTATTTGATGTTACGCCTGCTCCACGCATGTTCTAAAAAGGAAAAAAAAATAAAAGCTGGCCCACCATAAAGAAATGTACTAGTATCATTCCTGCAGCTGCAAAACACATGAAGCCACAGAGCAGTATTTTATTTTGAAGGTTGGCAGACTTTTAAAGAAATCATTTGATATCAAAAAATAAATACATATACATAGTGCATTTCTGGCATCTGGACCTAAAAAGGCAACTGGCAGTTACAATGGAGGGATGCAGTCCTGTCAATTTGTCTTCTCGCCCACTGGTGTAGTTGGGGAGTCTCAGAGCACCCTTCCAATACCAAACAAGCAACGCACAATAGGTCACAAGTGCCACCGAGAACAGCTGCTCAATGTTCATGTAACTGGTGACTTTTAAAGCATTCTGGGCCAAAGTGTAAGAGCACTGTTCCAAAAAACTCAAATGGCAATTAAACTGTGCAGACGGTATAAACAGGAAAACGTTCGATTGCACATAAATCAGGTTTTGCAAACCCGTAGCCCACTCCCACACACAGTTTGACCCGATTTCACAAAACACAGTGTTTTAAGGGGATCAAGAGCAGACCTGGAATTCTTAAGCTATGATGTCTGTATATGTTGCCCCAAGCACTTCCAAAAAAAAGAAAAAAAGAAAAAAAAAAAGGAAGGGGGGGAGGAAAAAAAAAAAAAAAAAAAAAAAAAAAGGAAATACTTCAGTACCTTACTGTGTCTAAGCTCCACATCTTCTTCCCCATAATCTGTAACCTCCCCAGCTTCTTCTACGTGATTGAGAGTGAGTTTGGGGATTTTAATTTTCTTCTGCATCACACTGTTCTCAAGGTCAGTTTTGTCCTCTAAAATGTATATTGAAAATAAAATTTCGTTACATTAATCAGTGTTCTTACTTCCAAATACTACACGACATAGGCAAGACCGGTTAAAAAAAAAACCAAAACATCTCCCACGCCTCAGTCCCCTCATAGTACTATGATCAAATCAATCCATGGTGGAACTCAACTGATGCCCAGTGACAATTCTAAAGTTTCAACAGGGGATTAATCTGGCCAAACACAAGAATAAATATTGCAAAATGCAAAGCTAAATTCATGTGAGTGATCGAAAGTGTCAATGAGTAGCTTGTACTATCACTAAAATGAGTTAAAGATGCTGTAAATAAAATAACTTCCTAAAAACCATTTCTATTGTTTTAAATTATGTTTACCAACAGTCTTTTCATATTCATAATCCATTGCTGCAGCTCAAACTCCGCTTGGGTTTAAAGTGAAAATAAACTTCGTAATTCATCCTGTACTCTAACCATCATCTGTCAGCAGTACAGATCTATTTGCACACACAGCAGATCCTACTGTTCTGCAAAGTGCAGGGCTGGAAAACGGAATGCTGCAGGACAGGTTGAAAGAGCATTACAGAAAAGTTGCATATGAACCAAATTTGTATCATAATTACTATACAACCCCTGCTTCCTTAGTTAATGGTACTAATCCTTTTCCTTTAGATACACAAAGCCAACAAATGGTTGCATTAATCTTTGAATCTCATAAAAAAACAGAAGTAAAATACTTTTAAGTCTGAAACATTCTAACATATCTCAAAACTATTTCAAAACATTCTGCAAATAAGTTTGAAATATTTTAATATTCCTGAAAAAGGTGCAGAGGAGACAGGGAATCAAGAGTATAGTCTCCCCAAATGTGCCCATGAGCTGTAAAATTCTTGCAGAGCAGACAAGGTCTTAAAAGATTCACAAGCTTGGCTACCTGTTCAAGACATTGACGAGGAGAAACACATTTAAACTCTGAAGTGTTGTCTGAAACCTTATGATCAAGAAAACATTTTGAGTCTTCTTGTCCACCTGCAAACTGTATTTCACAAAGGGTCCCATGAATACTTTTGAAAGCGCCAATGTGGATGGCATTTGTGAGTGGTTAGCTGCATTGAGTTTTGCTTTCTCAAATTAGCATCTCTCCACAGGACCTCAAAGTGGTTGGCGTTGACAGTGTAGAAAAGGGAAACAAAGGTAAATCACTGTTTAATGAGGAGCAAGGCATTCATTAGAAATGAATTACACAGATGAATGCAATTCATTTTGTTACAGATAGAAATGGATCTCTTGTAGGCAAATGGTGATATTACAGCCCAAGGCTATGTAAAGCAAATAGGCACAGAACATGCAGAATAAGACATTAGACAACCTGAAATGCAGATGGTAGCAATAAATACTAAGACAGATGCAAAAAGAAACAGATAAACAACAAAAAACAGCTAGGCTTATTTTAGATCATTCTCCATTCCCCAGAGTATCACGGATGCTTATCCTAGTAAAACAAAAAGGCAATCCAACTGTTTCAGTTTTGAAAAATAAACCCCTGCGTTTTCATTTATCTGGAAAAATGTAGGTTCATCAGAAAAGTGAGATCACCCAATTCTTCTGTCAGAGAGCAGAGAAGAGAATAAGGGACAACAAGGGAAAAAATACGAATTTACAAACTAAAGGACAGACTGACGGGTATTGGTATCTTCTTGGAAGGACAGCAATTTAAGAATAAATAAATCCATATTGAATTAAAAAAAAACAAAAATCTTTTTCTGTAACCATATATTTTGTGGTATCTGATAGATTGAAGAATCCTTTGCTAAAATACGTACTCACAATTCCTTCGAGGAAGACCAGCACATGCATACTGCAGAGCCAGCTTTTCTAGGCTGCCTTGCCAAATTATCTTCCACAGAACGTGCAGATGAACTCCTTCCACATTTGAAGAATGCATATTAGTTTCTATGCTCCGAAATAACCCTTGGCCTCACAAGATGGACACAATCCAGTTACCTCACACAGTTAAAAAAATTGTCTGCTGGCAACTAGCTGAGGTCACCAGTAGCCAGAACCCCACGCAAACTGGAAACGGACACTAGCTGTCCTTCCCATGACCAGGGAAAAGCAAGTCTTGAAACACTCATGGAAAGCGGTCACAGAGGAGTAAGTGCATGTACACACCACAGTAGAAGTCAGCAAATACTTTCCAACGAAAAAACAACATTAAAATACTTTGGAAGAACAGAAATGTTTATCTTTTAATTTTGGCTTTTAATTTCTAAGTCAATTTATAACGGTTAAGAACACATTTTATGCACTGAACAACAGAAATGGAAGAAAATACTTAGTCTGGGGTCAAATAAAACAATGCAAATTATCTGAATTCTTCATTCTTTCTATGCCCCTCACAATTTCTGTTTGCCTATGAAATCTACGTTTGCCAAAGTTCACCGGTGGACTGAATGTAAAAGTTTATTTATATACTTCCTTAAAAATACTTAGTTTATACATTATTGGTGTGACTATTAACATGGTTCTCCTTCACGTCTGGTAAATCTTTTAATTCGACTTTCTGATTTTGCTTCTTATCCTGTAAATGAATCAGCAAGTTGAAGAAAGGAACTCTTCTGCTCACACAAAATTTGAAGAAACAATTCTGAAAATTAGTTCATGTAAGTTAAATCTTCAGAATTTTTAATTTAGTCAATGAGCAAATAATTTTACATTCCTCTGTATTCCAACAACAATACATATATTTTCTAACATATGGTCTGGTCTTTGTAGACCTATTTATACCTAACACAATTCATCCAGTGTGTTGGATATGAAAAGACCTTTTGTATTTCTTTTTTTTTTTTTTTAAGTGCATTTCAAACCTCTGTTGTCTTCTATATTAGCTGCAGATAAAGCCAGAAAAATCTCATTCTGAATTTGAGGCTAATGCTGTAGTACTGGCTCTTGTTCCATAAATATTAATGGAATTTGGGAAGGGGCGGGAGGAAGGGAGAGGCAACCAGGGGGAGGGGTAAAAGAAGAACAAACGTGCATTTAGAGAGCAGTTCTTAGGACTCTCCATCTGTTGTTGTGCCAGCCTACAAAAGACAGGTACAAAAGAAGAATTCAGCAAAAAACAAAACACGCGCGATTTTGAGCCAGAAGAAAACCAGGGTATGAACCAAATGGCTGGACAACCTGAAATGCCGTGCCTGAAGCTACAGAGCACAGGGAGAGAGAAGGGCAGCCCTAGAAACGTTGTAGCTCAGAGCCCCATTTTGCAATGATGCAAAAGGTTTGTCTGGACTTTGTCCCCAGTCATTTAAACCTTGCTACAAGTTAAAAATTATACTTTCTCTTAGGCCGCTATGATCAGACTGTCATAAAGTTGTGCCTATTGTTTTTCCTATATATGGAATAAGTGGTTCAGTGATACCGGCTGCTGAGAACTAGCATTTACCACACCTAATTAGGTACTTGTAACAAAATACATAGGGTAGAAGCACAAAAATGGACAAGACCGATGCCCTCTGTCCTTTAAGAAGGTACATTCTGGAAGACACATGTAAAGCAGGAAAAATTGCTTTTGTGCACAGTAGCCATAATGTGTGAGAGAATAGAGAACATAGTATTCTGTGATGTGATATGCAGAATAAAGCACACTGGAATAACTGTACTCCAGGAACATGTCAGACTTGGAGACATCTTGCCAGTCAACTCCACAATGTACCGAAGTACGAGGCTCAATATCAGCACACATGAAAGCATCTCTCCCCATACGAGCACCTTATTCACGTAGTAAGAAGAAAGTGAACTGCTGAGCTATTTCAGAGTGGCTGGGAAGACATTTGGCCTCAGCAGTGTTGGAAAAAAAGCAATCCTGTATTAGAGAATCTGTATCAACTATCAAAGGATAAACTGTTCCTGGAATGTTTTCTTCAGTCAGGCCTTCAGTTCAGTGTCAGGATGGGTGGATACAGGCCAAACGTAATATCTTTAAGCCTACAGTGGCAGGGAACTGAGGCAGACAAAGCGACTTTAACAGGGCAGGAAGCAAGTTGGTTAAATCAGAGTAAAAAATATATTAGTGCTCTAAAATGGAAAACCATATCGTGGGATGCAGAGCAAAACTATGGAAATCTCAAAGTCTTCTTAAAACATTCCTTACTTTCTAATTTAGAAGTAAAAACTGAAGAAACTAATCCCTTCAAAAATAGTTCAAATGCTGATTTTTTTCCACCTTTGGAGTAAAAGCTGGAAAAACAGAGGAAGAGAGCTCTGCACTCCAAGTGCATGAGGGATGGCAGGTCTGGGATCAGTCCAAATAAGGGGCTTGGCAAGGCTATAAATCTTACAATCATAAAATGAAAGAACCTTGAGCAAAATTTGTCCTTCCTCTAAGCCTTCAAAAAAATTCCACCCCTTGTGAAACATGATATACTGACAGATGAAAAAAATTTACCGTCACCCTTCCCATTTCTAGGCATAGGGAATATATGCCAACACACATTCCCAACACATATGGACAACACCTGTACAAAATTCCTCCCACACTGCTGCACTGAACTGCTTCGCTACCGAAGCCAGGTTGCTTCTACAAAGCAGGGAATGTCACCTGCCTTGGCAGGTTGTGCATTGGTTACAGTTCATAAAGTAAAAGACACTTCGCAAAATACCCACAACCAAATGTATCCTTGGTGCTTCAAAGCAGTTACACACAATCAAGCACGACAGGGAACAGATACCTAAGTGCCAGTTAAACACAAATAAACAATAATCAATATTGCAGTGATTGAGAAGGAAAACAGCAAGATAGCACAAAAACAAAAAAAAAAAGGAAAAAAAGAAAGAAAAGAAAAAGCTACCTAGTTTATTTGAAACTGGAAAAAAAGAATTATGAATTACTTTCTTAGCTAATTTAATGCAAACATTAAAGGAAGACTTTAACAGGAAGAACAGAAGAGATTTCAGAAAATGTAATGGTTCTGCAGGCTCAGAAGATATTCAGGATACAGAGGAAGAAAAATTCGTCTCCTAAAAAACATCTCTGAGCCAGTAGTACACTGAGATTAAGACCAGTACCAAAGAAGAAGAAACTCAGAATGACAGTAAGAGACAACACAGGATAACAGACAGCAGTAGAAATGTAGGAGTTATTTGAAGAGGACAGGTGCTATTGAACTTGATGAGGCTAAAAGGAGGAGTTGTGTGCACAAGAGGATTTGGACAGTAAATTTACTATATTGTTTTGCATTTTCTTGCAGACTCGAAGAGCTCTGTTGGAAGGACAGAGAAAAAGAGATTACAGAAATAAATATAGGGCACATTGGAAACCTGCACAAAGTAGAGTTAGTTGGACAGAAAGGTAAAGCTGGGTGTAAACAACAAAGCAGATGAAGCAGAATCAAAGACAGCAAGACT